AAAGTTGTATTGAGAAAGAATAAACTAGTTTTATTTAAGAAAGGACTCGAATCGCCGAAGTTCCTCTGGAAGAACTTATATCAGAAATTAACAAACGACCAGAGACGTAACAGTATGTAGTTACGTATATATTTCTTCTTGTTATCTAGTATAGTTAACACTTAAAAGTTCAAAGGAACTTTCAACATTTTAGTGTATGCACGGTTCCAGCAATGGAACATTGTTCAAAGGAACTGGCTAATCTGTTGGTCTAGTGCCTGTTGTTCTGAATTACTTGTCAATGTTACACGTAGTTTACAACAAAATCTTTACAACTAGCAGAGCAGGTAGTTACTGGAGCGTGTAACCTCAATCAAGTGTTTTATTGTGGAATGACTAGAAATAATATTAGTTTCACATGTGCTCTGGGAATGAAGATTCCGTTCTAAGAGTGGGTAAGTTTCTCATTCTCAGCAGATTTTATTAGCAGAGAGTATTCTTTACAGAGCTGGCGGAATTCAATAATCAATTAATTGGCTGGCTTATTAATTGATTACGTTTAACTGATTGATTATTCTCATATGAGACTGGGATAATAGGAATAATCGGAAACACTAACCTCAATTAGTTGATAATTTCCATGAGTAGTGACACTAACTGATTATGCTGAATGTCCTTGAATTAATTGAAAATGAAAAATCATAATGGCAATATTTCGATTATTTAGGTACTTGGAGTAATAAAAAAAAAGTCGCAATCAAAAACACTAATTTTGATTACTTATTTTTGTGATATTAATAGATTTAATTGTAATTTTGATTAAACGATTATTTTATGTGACACTAATCACTGCTCATAGATAATGGACTATATAAATTATTTATTTTTAAGTGACAATATAAAATTAGTTATGCCCTATCCTTTCTTTATGGCCACTTTCAATAACCGTATCAGAACAAATTTGTTTGATTTGACCAACCTTAGAAGCTTGAAACTATACATACTTATAACTATAAATTCACTATGTGTGTCTTAAAAAAATTTTGCAGGTCTGTTGTACATAGGAATCAAATATTTTAGTAAAGTATTTCTACTAAATATTTTTTCTGTGAATTTCTCAGTTTTTACTTAGTTTCCACGCTAAGAATGAAAGCACTTTTCTTCATCTCAGTTGTCATATTTTATTAGAATAACCTCTAGAGCCTCCTAAATTAATATCAAAAGTTATTTCACTAAAATTTCATATTTTATCTCTTATTTTCTCTATCCTAACTCTAACTGTAGAGACATCACCAATTTACATGAAAAGTTGAAAAATATGAAATAAAATTAAGAAATATTTTCTCTTCCACACTGATCGCAGAATTAATTGGAAGTTCCAAATGGCTTATCTTCATAGTTTCAATTGTTAACCTTTTTCACTTGTTTTGTGCCATTGACGCAGTAATCCTAAGGTCACAAGTTATGAACAATAGCAGAATCCCATTAGCTAACTTAAACAACACATGACCCAGTGTCATATTTTGCCCCAGTGCATAAGCTATTGTAATTTTAGACATATTATTTGCTGAAGTTTTGTTAGAACGTGAGAAGTTTATAACTTACTTTTTAGTTATTTCAGTGTGAAATATATAGCAATAGTATTTCTACTACTCACTGATTAACCAGGCTATTTGCACATGTGTAAAATATATGGTGTTCTCCTCTAAGCCTTGTTTTATCTTACAAATTAGGGTAGACCTCCAAAAATAATATTCACGTACGTTTCAAATATGCATTTTAGAACACAAAAAATGCATCAGACATTGGAACAGAATGTCATAAAACAACCAGAATTTATCTGGCTTTCTAGGTAAATTAAAATTATGCTAAATATATTCCATTACTGTTTAAAGCACCAAATCTGTTCAACATAAACCAAACAATTCTCTTCCAGTGAAAGAGAACTGCAGGAAATTTAAATGTAAAACATATATATAGGAGAATTTGTTCCTTCTATTGGTTATAATACATATCCATCAGTAATGTTAAGTTGATTGGCAAAGAATGCTGAAAGTCAGAGAGTGGAGATTTGACATACTTACTGCTATCTTGGTAAATCAAGAAGGTGGGAGGTTCAAATTTTAGATTCTTGCTTGTAAATATATACAGTTTCTGTTTCTAAGTGCAGCACCTTATCTTAAAATTTAGAAAACTCTGAGGTGGTGAAGACATAGCTCAGAAAGCATCATGTAAAACAGAAAAATGAAGTCTGACAATTTTTAAATATTTCTTTCTCAAATTGAGAAATTGCAATTACATAATATAAAAATTTGAATTATAAACTATGTTTTCATGCCAAGACTGCCAACATACCAATATAACACTGTAAAACATCATGACATGGACCTGGTCAGCAATAATGGTTATTATAACTAAGTTTTATTATTATAAAGATTTTTTCACATTATTAGCTTAGAAATAACCTAAATCTACAAAGTTGGCCAAGCCAAGTATCACTTTTACCACAGTGTGGACACACAGAGTTGATTAGAATATTTAACACATTTACATTTATCTGATATTTATTATTTCTAAGTATATTTTGAATGTTTGTTACTTTACTGTACTTATTGTACTAATATTAATATTAATATAATTAATATTGAGAGCCAACATGGAGAAATTAACTTGTAAATGTAAAGCAAAATGATGTAGCAATGAAACATGCTTGAAGTGTTCTAGATGTGGTAGTGAATTGGATGGTTTAAGTATAGCGATTAAATTAAACCATGGCTCAGAAGAGGGAAAATCTTATTCAAAGATACCCCAATTGATTTGATATACCAGCTTAACTTGATATTCATCAATTTATTACTGCATTGGCAACAAAACATAAAAAAATGGGCAAAATAGTAACAATAACTTCAAAAAGGGGGGATTGGAATCATATATATATGAAATCATTAGTTTCAATATTTTGTAAAACTTACAGCAAAGTAAAGCCCAAAGATGCAGTGTCGAAGTTGAAGCAGATGCATGACCAGATAATTTCTCTAGCGATTCTCAAATTAAAAATGCCATTTCTGCAATGACGAGTAAATATAAGAAGGATGGTATAATGCCCAGTATGGTACCACCATAGGATAATCCATATAGATCTCCTCATGTCAAATTTTCATTAATATTTGATATTTCTTTTTAGAAGCTGTGCTCAGCTTCATTCATCAAGATCTATCAAAATAACCCTAAATCACAGAATAACCCCCTAGTTGATCATCCTAGGCTCAGTACTGAAAGATTCTGAGCTGGCTCATATAGCAGGTGTTAGTTTTCTAATGAAATACAAAATCTAGTGTTTGATGATAAAAATTATTGTGCCAGTTTTTCCCTTAAATCCTTCTATACTAACATCCGTTTGGAAGAAATGATATAGCTAAGTGCAGAGTTAATGGTTTATGACAATTCAAAAAAGTTATGGCCCTCTGAATTTTTAAAGTTAATGAATTGTGAAACTAAAAAATATATATATAAAAATCACATTTTCTGTTAAATTTCCATCTTTACGATCAGACTGATGGTGTACCTTAGTTTCTTCTTAAGCTAATTTTCTTTACATGAAAAACAATGGTTGGAAGATGGTCAACAGTTGTTTAAAATATATTTTTGGAAGTACGTGGATGACACACTTACTATTTTGAAATATCTAGATCATGCTTCTCACTTTTGAGTGTTCAAATAGCAAGCAAAACAGTATTACATTCATTGCTGAACATCAACAGATCTAACAAATTGAATTTTAATCATGATTAGAAACTATGGTTGTGAAATTTACTGTAAAAAATTACTGCCCTGTAACTTTAATTTTTACAGGCCATATATGAACTACATTCAATGAAATCTTGGCTAAGATCTCAGTTTATCATGCATATAAAATTTCAAGTACTTATGAATATTTACACAGAGTTTTATAAGATCAAAAACGATTATGCTAAAGTGGTTGTCCTATTCACTTGATCGATTTGACTGACAGAATAATCACTAGTTCCACAGTATAGCTGTTTTTTTACGTACAAAGAATATTTTCATTTGTTATAGCTTTACACATAATGAAAATATTCTTTGTACGTGAAAAAACAGCTATGCACTCTATTCCACAGACAGTGGAGACAGATATTCACAGTGTAATTAAGATTTATTGTTAACCCTTTGGTTGCTGGCCTCTAAAGTTTTTAGAAGGTAACATCACATTCATCATATTTTGTTCCAAAAATAAAACTAGTGGATGTAATTGCTTAAAATTTGACAAGAATGTTCCTAAATGTAGTTTTTGAAAATTAAATATTTTAAATAAAAATGTTCACTATTTAATGTAGTTATTTGCACTCAGACTCTGAATAGTTCACCTATAAGGAGATTTTTTATATGAAGTATAAAAATACTATTTATTATTTTACAGCTTTCACATTTCATTTGTGTAACCTCCAGAACCTCCTAAATAAACATCAAAAGTTTTTTAAGGTAAATGTTTACAATTTATTTTCCATTTTCTCTACTATATCCGAAACTCTACCTATTATCATGAATGCACAATGCAACGAAATGTTTATAATTAAAAAATGGAAATATGTACATACTTTTAGCTCTTCGTAGAAGTCTTTTGACAGAAACTTTTTTTAGCATGCATAATTTCATACCATTATACTTTCACCTATAGTTCATTTTTAATTGCCCTTTCCAATTCTTTGTCTTTTATTATTTATATCAATACACCAACTAGTGACCGTGGGGCTTGATTGTTGTTATCATTATATGGTGATTCCTGTACATAGACACATGATGATCAAAATCTCTAACAAGGGAACATGATGATCAAAGTCTCTAACAAGGGAACATGATGAACAAAGTTCTAACAAGGGAACATGATGATCAAAGTCTCTAACAAGGGAACATGATGAACAAAGTCTCTAACAAGGGAACATGATGAACAAAGTCTCTGCACAAGAGAGAACTTGTTCATTCATAAGCTTAAGCCACAAGTTAACAAAGTCAGTTCAGCATTGAAATTGCTTCTTATAATAAAGGGTAGTTGGTAGAAAATGGAGTTCTAAAAATTCTTAAAAATTGCGGTTTTAAGACATTTAAAAGTTATTTTACCTTTATTTAAAATAATGGATTCCACCCTTGAAGTCAAAGAAAAAGATAACTGTGAATTAATATCAAGTTTTTGTCTGATCAGTTTTCTTACTTCTAACATCAGGTTCATCAGTGCTCCTGAAAAAAAAGAAAGAAAGAAATAGAACTGAAATAAGTCTTTATCATATTGGTTTTTTTTATTAAAATACAATTCTGAGATATAGGTTAAACTTCCAAAATGGAGAGCAGAAACACTAAAAGTAATCAACTTTACAATTTCACTACTGTTTAAATCATTTACACGGTCGATCAAAAGTTCAGTTTAACCCTATCGCTATGGTTAACTAGACCAAGTTCATCATCAGTTTTCATACTATAGCGTTTAATATATTTTGTGTGCCTTCATAAAATCTGTCAAATATTAAAAGTTTTTTGTTGATTAAGTATTCTTCTAAAAACTTGTCAGTGAATAAATGAAGTCAGAATGTTAACTGTTCTGAGTGCAAAGTGATTTTTAAGTTATGTTTAAAAACTTTTTTCTTCATCTAAAAATTTTTAAGTTGCATTTGTATAGCGTCTAAAACCTCTTAAATAAATATCAAACACTTATTTTTCTTAAATGGACTCAGTCAATTTTACCAACCACCATAAGAAAATTCAAAATAAAATCACCCTTTTTATCTTTCTAGAATGACTGGAATTTGTAACTGGATACTACAATTGTTTATTCTAAAAAGCTTAAAGCTCGTAAAAGTTTACATCTGTTTGTGTTTAATTTTATCCCCCTTTGACTTGTGTCTAACTAATAATCCCACCACACAAGTTATAAATCGCTCAGCAATTGTGTAGCTCACACTGTTGTATCGAATTATGTAATGTATGAGCTGCTTCCTAGCATACTTTGTGAGGAATTATTATTATTTTTAATTATCTTACCTAATAAGTTTCCAATTTTTACACTTTAGTTATTTTTATAATAATAAATAACAAAATACAACAAATATATCATTTACCTGTGACCTCTCATATTTTTGCTGTCAGTTGCTGATGAAATTTAAGCCTACTTCTTTTATACTAAAGGTATTAGTACACTAAATAATTTCTATTTACTTGAATGATGCACCTAAGAACACAGAATAATTACACACACAAAGCAAAGAATGTCCTAAAAGTACCACAATTTTTCTTGCTTTAGCCTTTAAATCTTACCTTAAGCATGTTGATCTAAGGACTGCAACAGAAAATTTCAAACTGAAGACCAAATAGACAATTTTCTGTACTGAAAACAATATAATATGTCATTTCATAGCTTGAAATCTTGACTTTCTACTGCTTATAATATAGTGTAACATGTCTGAGAGAAGATAATTTGTGAAAGAGATGATGTGACAGGTAGGCATGGCAAGTGTGTCTGATTTTCCAGATTATGACTTGTAAACAAATGAGACTAATGGCTATAAAAATTATACATTGCCTTAGTAATATCTGTATTATAATGAAATATAACCTTCTCAGAAGGTTAATAAATAAATTAAAGAGGGAAGACCTAGAGAACAAATGTCACAATTCATCATACCATGGGAGATTGGGAATTTTTAAAAATAATTCTTTATAAAATCAAGGACTTAAAACTTATATAATACTAAAATCTGTTTTATTACAATATTTTAATGCCAAGTTGACCTGCATAGAATTATATAAAAGCTGTTTAATTAAGTTTTGTTTGTTTGTAATTAAGCACAAAGCTACACAATGGGCTATCTGTGCTCTGTCCACCACGGGTATCAAAACCTGGATTCTAGCATCGTAAATTCGCAGACATAATTAAGTTTTGAATATAGCTATCTAAAAGGTTGTGACATGCACACTTTGACTTACCCATAGTGAGAGGGTTAACTAATTCAATGCATGAAAGTTTACTTAAAAACAATGCTTACAATTGTTATTGGATATGGTTCAACAATATCCTAGTCACACGCATCTTTATTTTATTACATTCAAATTTTTATAACTTGACAGAAGCACACAAAATTAGTAGCTTGAAACTCAAAAAGATTAAATGTTTTGTGGAATTACTTTAAGTTAAAGTTTTAGCTGATAGCTTTTATTTAGAAAATCTCTTCTGAAGACAAAATGAATTAGCAATCTCAGAGCACACATCCCTTTATATATCAGTATTATTTCATATTCCTGGTTCCAGTTACACAACAACAATGGTAAACCATATCATTTATATTAGTTATCATATTTCTTGTAAAAACAAGTTATACAAAGTTTGCTTTTTTTATTAAAATTTAGATATATTTCAAGGGTTCTAACAGGCTTCATTCATGTCTTCAGAGTTTATTTAGAGATGATGGTTTATTTATACAATCTAGGTCAACCAGCCTTTTTATTGTTTCAGTACTGACTGGTTAATACAAAAACGTAAATGGTAAAGTGTTAATTACTAAGCAACATCACTTACATTTCTGATACACATACACACATTACTAACTGGACTCTATAATGTTTCTCTTTCAGACTGTACCGAACTTCTTTAACTTCTATATAGTACCTGAATTTACGCCATGCATACAAAGATGGAGTGAACTCTGAATTGGTTGGAATTTTACAATTAAGGTATTAGGACTTGTTTTGAGACTGTACAGTACACTTTAAAAAATTAATGTTAAAGAATTAGAATTATAAAAGTCTATTTGACTGTTTGAGGTCACCCTCCCCACCCAACCAAAGCAGCAAAACTAAAAAAAAGTTCTTCATATTCACTCCTTCATACACAAAACAGTTAAACGATTTTTAAACTATGATCTCACACTTTATCATCAAACAAACCACTCTTTTAAGTGTTCAATTCTTAAATAAAAATGTCTGTACCCGAGTTTCAAGCTTATTACCCTTAAGTTTTACATTTTTAGAATTAAAATTAATTTCTAACAGGTAATGACCTTTGAAATACAAATAGCCTTTTTTTATTATTATTGAATTGCTGTCATGGTGTAAAACATCTTGTGACAAAAGTTTTGAATGTCCTTGATGCAATACAGAGCATGTGTTAACTTACCCATAATTCTCCACCCCCCCACCTTCTAACTTATTGTGCATGCATCAGGCGATCTTATATATGCTCTGTTCTCCCACCATAATTCAGATTTTGAAGTTGCAGTTGTGATGGAAAACCATATATCACCTGTTTGTGGAAGGAGGGTGGGAATGTATTTCAGAGGTAAGTACATTTTAATTATAACAGGTAAACTTACCTCCGAAATATTGAAAGCCAGAATATCCACTTGGAAAATGAGAAGGGAACTGGAAAAAGTCACAGGTACATCATAATTAAGCATTAAGCAGAAATGTAATTACCTAGAGCAGGGCTGGCAAACCTATGGTATGTGAGAAAATTTTCTTGGCACGTGGTAACTAACTGCTGTCCCAAGTTTTTTTACCCGACCACTATATATACATAAGAATACATATATATTATTTATAATATATAAAATGAATAATAAGAACAGTAATTTTGCAGCTTAAAATTCCCGTGGGCATGCGAAAGAATTTCTCCAAAAATTATCAACAATTTGGGC